TTATACTAGCTTTTTCCGCGACTTCGGCCGCGCTGAATTAAAAAACTAATAAATATCTACGGTCTTTATTATAATACTTACTGTACTTTGTGATAGTGTAGGTTTCTAATAGCAAAGACACTTTGAATCGGTCTAGTACTTTTAAAGTTTTTTCGTTACCTACATACAAAAATACAAATCTTTTTTTTATAATATTAGTATATATGTCACAATTGGATATGTCTGTTGAAAAAGTGTTATTGACTAAAACAGGAAACAGGCGAACAGACAACCTCTATGTACTCGATCAAAGAAATTTAAGCATTTATTTTTTATATTTTCACATAATTTTTTACTAATTAAGACTCAAGTCGCCGACTCTACGTGACAGGGTACGGGATAAGGACAGGGAGATGATAAAATAAAAAAAAACCTCAATCCCCATGTAAACCGAGCCTTAACATTTTAATACACTTTAACTGAGTATCTGTTTATATCAACCAGGATAGCAGAAGGACAGAGGTCACTACTATCGATGACTGGTCCATTTGCGGTGTTGCCATTTTATTATCAACTCTATTCCCTTAAAATAAGGTAGGTTTTATATATTTTATGTACACAATTAATTAAAATAATGCTCTACTGTGGCCAGGCGGCTAGACTGAATAGTTTGTGCAAACGTTTGGACGTCTCTATTAATTACTCAGTCTGGGAAAATTATTATCATAGTAGCTATCGTCCGCGACTCCGTCCGCGTGGAATTAAAAAAGCTTAATAAGTTCCCGGTAATTATTCGAATTTTTCTCACTTTTTAAACATTCAATAGACCTCCACGAACATATTAAAATCAAGATAAGATGAATCTGTTAAGCCTGCTCGAGGTTTAGCGAGACAAACAAACAGCCATTGATATATATATATATATATTAATAATAAGATTCTTTTGTATTACCTAGAAATACTAAATAAATACAGTAAAGAGCAGTCCAGTAGAACAAATTAAAAAAAAAACAAAACAACTATATTATGGAATATTTTTGTTTAACTATATTACTTCGTATGAGAAGACGTTTTAAGATACTTTATAAATTATTAAAATATTTAAGAATATTTTCTTACTAATATTCTAAAAGTCAAAGTTTGTTAATAGATGGATGGATGGATGTTGGTTTAAAGGTATCTCCAGAACGGTTCAACTAATCTCTATGAAATTTAACATAGAAAATAGTCTGGAAGAACCCAATACTTATTAAGTTTATAACCGCGCGAACGCAGTCGCGGGCGATAGTAGTATTAAATAAAGTATTTGTTTCGTAGTGCAGTATTATAATAGAGAATAGAAAACAAATAATACATATCTTTCTATTTTATTTACACATTTATAATATTTTACGCGTAAACATCAACAGAAAATTTAAATCCATGACCTTTTTCACTTTTCAATTTCAAAGTAACACTGTCCATTCCAATTCCTCCCCTCTTGATATAACTCTCTCCATTACCTTTTAGATCTTTTACAACAACCGCTTGAATGGTTTTATTCTTTGGCGCCTTTATTTCAATTTCTTCTACTCTTTTTTGTAACGGCAAACCCTTTTTGGTGTAAATCTCATGATGTATCTTTTGCGCGCCGTATGTGTGGCCAACTGTCAAATCTCCGTTCCCTAGAACCAGTGTTGCTAGGTAGAAAATGCAAATGGTAGCAAACAGTATTCCCTTCGACACCATTTTGTCGTTTGGTAACATTTGGTTTTAAATCTCGATATTTATACGTACTTAATTGGTGGGTAATTTATTTTAAATTGTTCTTAATTTGTTTTTCATTTGTTTTAAATGGTTAAGCGAATAAGTAAAGATGTAGAATATATTATTATTAAATTAATAGTATAGTAGTTTTTTTTTATAAATGTAAGTACATAAAATAAATATATAAGTGTACAACTCATTGTATATATCGTTATGTGGTAGATTAAATTAAAATATTTATAAACATTTCTATTGTAGTTTATTCTAATGTCAGAATAATTAGACTGTAAATACTCCCCACTAAAGGCTCGGAGCATACCCTAAGATAAGGGAGATTAGGCCATAGTCAACCACGCTGGCCAAGTGCGGGTTGGTTGACTTCACACATATCTTTGAATTTCTTCTCAGATATGTGCAGGTTGCATCACGATGTTTTCCTTCACCGTAAGAACGTAGGATAAATGAACATATGTAAATCGAAAAACCCATTGGTACATGGCGGGATTCGAACCCAGGACCTGCAGATTGCAAGTCAAGTGCTTGACCTCTAAGCCAGCATCCTTGCCTTAAGATATTTCATACAGATTGTCATATTCCCTTATTGTAATATTAAGTAACAATTTTTTAAATTTTTCTTTTATCCTCTCAATGACATTTGTGGTTTCTATAACTAAGCCATTAGTTGTCTTATCAAATCGTACATTTAATTTAAAGTGTATCTTATCATATTTTTATCTATAACCTGATAGTTCAAACATTGATAAAATATTTGAAACGCATCAGTGACGTTGGTAATGCGTCTTTAAATTACTAAAACAAAATTCATTTGTTCACGAAACATTACTAATAATAGTGTTGCAACAGATTAAAAAAAAACGTCTTCGAAATTCGTTATTAATTGTGAACGAAAAATATTTAATAGTGCTGTGACAGATAAACGTCAAATTTTTTTATTCGAAATTTGAAATGTCAGAACGTATTTTTTTATTCCTTTTCACTGTCATAATTATGACGACGGATAGAATAATATCGGAAAGTGTTTTCGAAGGTTCTCGTTTCGTGAATGACAGATTGTTACATCGAAGTGACCATGTTAAAAGACCTTATTTTATAAGAAGTGAGGACATCGCTTTCCCCAAATATAATGAGGAAGGGGGCAATTTAATTACGTCTATTAATATAATAGACAATCTAGACAATGGTGCTTCGGCTGAAATTGATTACGGTGGGATTGGTTACACGTATTTAAATGTACATCTAAGAAGTGCTATGTGGAGTGGTTACAATTTTACTGTAGAAATATATGGCGTAGGAATAAACGATTTTTTGCAATAATTCAATGTAAGCTTTTAATTTTCTATAATTATTATTTCCTGTTATTTTATTTCTTTCACATTATATTATACACTGTATAGTAAAAAAGTGGCTCAACTCCTACCACGAAATAATAGCAAGATAATACGAATGCAAAATATTGCACAAAATAATTCATAAGGAAGCTTTTGAAAACAAGAAACCAAAATATTGAAAAAGGGATAAAAGAAGAAACTAGAAGAAATTAATATCTTTACAATGCTGACTTTTTTATACATATATTTATAATGAAACATATACTGACGATGTTTACTCACCAAATATATTATTATTTTGAATAACTTAAATATGTACGGTATTTTACTACACAATTGATTAAAATATTTTAAGTTTTTCAAAAGGCAATCCTAATGTTTTAGTCTTATTGTAAACTAATTAAGATGTTGCTTTCTACAGCTATAAATAACGATAACGCACCGACGTAGATAAATTAAACTATAGAATAAGAAAAAAACAAAAACGATATATTCTTTATATCAGTTTCTGAAAACTTAAGACTATTTATGTGGGTCTTATTTTACCTATAAGGGTTTGTATTTAATAAGAGTTGTTATACCACTATATTTAAATTAAAAATTAATTTTAATTTAGTGATTTTAAACACTTTTTGTTTATTAAATTATTCAAACTTTCGTGAGACATTATACTAAAATGATATAAAAACGACTAAACACTCAAGTATATTCGTCCCGTGGCGGCACAGACTAATTTCGAGCCCATCGGGGGCCCATCATCAGGATGAGTGGTACTGGTATTATTTCGCGGACGCGGCTCGTCGCTCAATAATATCAGCTGATGACTATTTAGAATTTAAGTATACCAATTTATTTAAGATTCACGGAAACCTTAGAATTTGTAAACTTTCAATACCAGAAAAATATATTTTCGTAAATAAAAAAAATGTTAGATTATATTGTAAGTAATCCTTAAAATTCTTTTTTTTAAATAAGAAATTAATAAGAAGTAATAACAACTCTATAGATATCCCTGCTCTATGCGTAGTGAGGCGTGAACATAATGACCCTGTAATAATATTTAAATAGACATAATGACAGGGATTCGGTATTCTTTTGTTTCGTACCTGTTCGAGTAGTGCCTATTAATTTTATCTCCGTAAACTCTACCCCAATTTAGTTGGATTTGAGTGTATATCCCATTTCAAACACCCATCCAAATCATGTACAAACACATCGTGAAATTTCATACACGCCGACTAATTCGATATACAGGTTAACATTAAAAAAGTAAAACGCTAGTTTTCTTATTTTTATTAATAGCAAAAGAGCAGGCAGCCTGAAGTCGCCGAAATAACTAAGCAACCGTTGCCAAAGGCATTAGTAATAGCAGTTGCGTTGAATGCCTTTACGACGGAGGAGGTGACGCACAGAAAGAGGATATATCCCCTTTCTATGTGTCCTCTCCTTTGTCAAATTCACCTCCAAATCCCATCATTTCCTTATAAAAACAATTTTAGCAGCCTATGTGTTTTTCCAGACAAGGTTCTAGATCTTTGCCAAATTTCATCAAGATCCAATCAGCCGTTCTGGAGTTACCTCCAAACAAACATACATCCATCCATCTCTATTTATAATTAACATTAAATGATGATTATGCATCCAAATGCCTAACAAAATAATGGCAAAAAATAGCTTTATTTGGTTTTAAAAATATCGTCCATTGTCAGCTTAGAAAGGTAAACAAATTTTCACAGAATTACGAAGCATTCCTGCTTTAATTATCTACGTCATTTCATTTTGAACACTGACTCTATGCCGTAATTTTACGTAATTCTTTATCTATCCTCATTAAAATCACACTGATATCAAATAAATTGAAATGGCATTTATCAAGAAAATAATCAATAATATTTTTAATCTACTATACCTTTTAGTTATAAAATATAATTATAACAGTTAGTTAAAGGTTATAAATATTTATCTTTATAATGCTTTGGCGTATAATTTTCTTTATTGTGCCTATCGTGTTTGTACAGTCATACCCAAGTAATATAGTTGAATTGGAAGACTCATATAGTGTACATAATACAGAAAATGAAATAACAAATGGCAGAATTCATATGACGTTAAAACAATATCACTGCGCATGGAATGATTCCTATAGTAAGTATTTTTTATAAAATATTACTATTAGTTGTCGCCCAAGACTCGGTCCGCGTGGATATATAAAAAAACTTAATAAGTGTAGCCTATGTGTTCTTTCAGACTATGTTCTATACGTAGTCCAAATTTAATCGAGATCCGTTCAGCCGTTTTAGAGCCGTTGCCCATAGACATAATTGCATATGCGTTGCCTACCTTTAATCGACGGAGGAGAGGATGCATCCGGAAAGTCCCTTCCATTTCCCATCCTTTCCTTATAAGAATAAGGGTGGGTAGGGAAAGAAGACTAAGTTAGGCCTCCGGATGCACACTCATCAGACGAAACGCGGAATTGCTTTCACTTCACGCCTGTTTTCTGTGTGGTCGTATTCTCCGGGCGAGCCGGACCGATTCGTGCGAAGATGTTAAAGCGGACTCTACCACTGTTTATACATTTTTGAAGGTACGCTTCGGAGCGAATGCACTTTGTCTAGCCCCTAAGTATTTTTATTTAAATATCTTAAGTATTATAACACATAATCATAAGTACTACGTGTCAAACTAGACAAACTCCACCAGAAGCTTTGCTTCTTATTATCCTGTCTTTTGATATATGTTAAATTTATTTATACTAAATAATAGGTTGCCTATTAACAATAAAAAGAAAAAATCCCTTACCTATTTATACTTTCCTTTGCTAACATCCCTTTTCATTCCCTATTGAAAAAGTGTTGGAAGGAGACGAGAACTAGAATTGTGTCACCAGCACATAATAAAGCAATACACTATAGATTTATCATCGCTATTTTGTTTTCAGATTCAAAGTTGCTGACATTCGGCGCCAAATCCTGGGTATTCCCAAAGCAAGACGTTAACTTAGTTCTGTCATATCCTGACAAGAATGTTGGTATATTTTTATAATAGCTTTAGTTACCAATGCGCATAAAACACGTTGTCTTTTTATTCTCTTTGAGAGAAAGAGAAATATCAATTTGCCGAATATTTATAGCATGGATCCAAATATTTGGCAAACATTTACAGCGTGGATCCAAACATTTGTCAAATGTTTGTTCAGTGTTGCGTTTTCACTGCCAAAAATGAGTTTAGAATAATATTGTTTTTTTCTAAAAAGAATGAGAGGATGACAATATACGCACTACCTTTTCATAAATGTTTTTTTCTCATTACCAGGAAACCATAAAGAGTAACGATGTGATAACCAAATTCAATGTACTCATAATGATAGATAGCACCCACAGTAGAGGATATATCACATCTGGAGGAATTCTTCAGGTAAATGAAATGTTAATATGTTTTTAAATATTTTATTATCATCTTTGGCCGTGAAGTTGTCCGCGCGGAATTAAAAAAAAACTTAGTAGCTTATGTGTTCTTCCAGACTATGTGCCGCATTTCATCGAAATCTGTTGAGCCGTTCTGGAGATACCTTCTAACAAACATCCACATACCCATCCATTCATCTAAACATTCACATTTATAGTACTAGTAAGACAAAGAATCGAAATATAGAAACGACATAATCCTAAATCCCTGCTTTCACTTGTAGGAATAATTTAAAAATAAATTTAATAAAAAATACGAATCGAATCACTTTACCTATTAAATATGATGTTTTTTACATGTCTCGAAGCAGTACAAACTCACCATAATGTTATTATTATATGTTTTCAGGATCACATATCCCTATCTTTCGTGTTTAGCGGCATAACATCTCTAACATATCAGTTCTGGCTGTACGGATTGCCGAATGAATATCTACCCCGAATCGATCCTTACACAAATGTGCATAACATGTGCTAGCAATGTAGTTCTAGCTATCTAAAATCATTTGGCAAATGTTTGGTGCCACGCTGTAAACTTTTGACAAATGTTTGGTGCCGGACTATAAACGGTTGACATATGTTTGGAACCATCTCGTAAACAAATTAAATCTATTAATTACTCTGATGTACAAAACGCTATAAAACATAAAATATTTCAAAATAAAGCCAAAATCTTCATTTTCTTACCACCTATTTATCTACTCCTTTTCCTGTTTTATATTTTTTAATAAACTTAAATATATATCAAGAGAAAAAATTATATTAACATTATGCTACAAGGTTTGATATCTCGCTAAAAGGGACGCAGTTGCAACGCGCATACAATATTGATGTACAATACTCAATACATTGGTCTTATTATTATCAGACTATGCCACCTGTGCGCGCCAGTCTAGACATGTCACTAGGGTTGCTACATTCGAATTTAAAAAGGCAGCCCTAGTAACTATCAAAGAGTAAATGTTACATATTGTCATCTCTATGTTTTAAAGAGAATAGAAAGAGAAAATAATACTTCATTGTGTTCTTAATTACTTCACATTTGCGATTGAATTGACATTTATATTGAAACATGTTGTCTCTGTTTTTATCAACGAGAATGAAAGGGATAACAATATGAAGTTGAACACAACAGTAATAAAAGTTGTTTAAAATTACTTACAACCAACTGCCATTAGTCCAGGGCTCCCGTCTCTTCCTTGTAGCATTGCCGGCAATCAGCCACACTAGTGATAGAAGCACGAGGAAACGAAAAACCGAACTGGACGCCATCTTGTTGCTGACGTCACAAAATGATCATCTCTCTCACATTATACACTGTCACTTCCCACTTTTATACTTTTTAATTAATTATTTTATAAACCATGTTCTATAAAATCACATCGTAATTATTGTAACATTAGGACTGCCATACACGGACTATAAAAATACAATCGGACATACAATACGTATAAGATACCCTTAATCCACAAAAAAGTTCCACATAGTATGATAAAAATCTAGATTCTGAACATATTTAAAGATATATGTTATTAAGAGTGTCTCAAGATATTCTATTAGGCGCCTGGAGAGTAATTAAAAGCAAAGATATAGCGGACAACAAAAATCCTAATACTATTTTAATCGATTTTTAATTAATTCTATACTTAATAAATGCTACTTTCGGTCACTTCATAGGATTTAATAACTTTATAATTAAAATTTATCCGCTTCGTTCATCTAATAAAAATAATTAGGTTAATTTACTATTATATCGGCAAACCGCAGATAGTGAACAGCGAACGGTGTGACAGCAAACGGTGTTACGGCTAACGGTGTTACGGCAAACAGTGTTACGGCAAACGTGTAACAGCAGACATTGTTACATCAAACTGTGTTACGGCAGTGAATACCCATTGTAACAAGAATCTTTCTGAATTTTACTGTAACAGCTCTATAAATATCTTATTACAGAGTTGTTACTACCCTCATAATGTTTTACAAATTAAGTAATATATTAGAGTATGCAATAAATCTGCAATATTGTAAGACGTTTATGGCGTAAACTTCCTATTTTATAACACACTGCCTACCTTATACGTTTTAAATAATCTTAACACGTTAAACGCCAAAGTATAAGTAGAAAATAATCACTTAAAAACTTTTTGCTGGAAATAAATGCGTAATGTCCAATCTTCAAAATATATAGTTTAGGGTTCAATCAGAAGCTGGGTTCCGCAGATAATAAAAAAAAACTTCATGAGGTCACAAGCCCTACGCGGCGTTTAAATGCAGGCAGGGATCCGGTCACCGGTGATCAAAGTGACGTATGTGTTAATAACTAAAATACGTAATTTTTAAAGTGAATTTTTATATTTAAATTGAAAGTAGTTAATTTGATTCTCGATAAAATTCGTTTATTCCAAGATAATTTTAATTTTATAAAATTTTATTTTATATTTTGAAAGAAAAATAAGCAATAATAAGAACGAGTAAGCTTTATGGATTAAATGTTTGATAATTTTGCCTTTTTAAATCTATAATTTGATACGGATTGTATACAATAAAAATTCCCAAGCACTCGTCGGCGACCATCCCTTATAATTTTCAATTTATTGAACACAATAGCAACGCAAAAGCGTAACTAATTCCTTTGTGGGAAGCTGAATAATCCCATTTAATGTAACGACACGACAAAAATATAAAAACAATTTAATTTTATAATAAATCAAGCAAACTTATAAATATCGTTATTTTTATCACTAGACTTTGATGTCGATCTTATGTTGTTTTAAAATAAATATTGTGCTTAAAAATAATTTTGTGTCATAAAATTCATGTAATAAACAGTCCGCGCGGGGAATTATAAAAAAATATTCGTAGCTTACGTGCTCTTCCAAGCTATGTTCAACATCTATGCCAAATTTCAGAGAGATCCAATCTAACCATTCTGGAGATATTTAACAAATCATAATATTAGTATGATAAATTTATATTTTTAGTACATACGACATAAAACAATATCATCAACCTGCCCTTAACCCTATCGAGGGTCGGCATAGTATATACTACTCCGCCATACATCTCTATCAGCCGTCATATCCGAGTCTACCCCCTTCCTACGCATATACTCTATCACACAGTCATTCCATACTTTTTTTGATCTTCCTCTACCTTTGTAGCCGTCCACATTCAATCTCATTTTAGCTTATATCATCATACCACGCTAATCTTTTACTCCTCAATTTCTCGATCATTGGCGCTATTTTCAAACTTCCTTTAATATACACATTTTTAACTTTATCCTTACGACATAAAACAATAATATTTGTAAAAGTATAAAATAATTTTCTTTTATTTACAAAAAAAAATTGTGATACAACTCCTCGATACGATGTCTTAACGATTTAAAAATCGTGACGTCTAAAAGTATTTTATTCATGATTATAGTCGAGTTATTCTTTATTGTTATAATAATAACTCTGTTCCTTTCTTTAGGGGAGTGCATTTTTATTTCGTTTCAATTAAACCTTTTTTTTTAATTCTTAATACTATCCAATTTGTGTTAAATTTTAATAAAAATTAAATACAAAAATGAATTTTATAATACTTGTCGTTAATTGGGTGAAATTCTATCATAATTCATAATTAATTTTTAAATTATAAATAGCGTCTTGCATTTTTTGCTATGGATAAAATAAGGAATACTAATAAAAAAGCTTTATAAATCTTTTATAAACTTAAAAGAATTAAACCGTAAAATATCAATTTTAATTAAAAGATAAATTTAAAAAATATAATAAAATCTAGTGTTCACTTTAGTATCTTTTTTTACTATTTAATTTAGCTGTAGCCCGCGACTCTGTTCGCGCCGAATTAAAATAATGCGTAATAAGTAGCGTATGTGTTCTTCCAGACTATGTTCTACATCTATGCCAAATTTCATTAATATCCCTTGAGCCGTTGCTGAGATACATTCAAACATTGATCCCCTTAAAACTTTCGAATTTATAATATTAGTAAGATTTAACATAAAATAAAAGAAATTTTCATAAAAATAAGTTTGGTATTAAACTTTTCAAATAGAGAACCTATGGTCATACGGCTCAATGTAGAGCCAAGTCTGAAAAAACACATAGGCTATTAATTTAGTTTTTTTTTAAATCCCGCGCAGACGGAGTCGCGGGCGACAGCTAGTTACTCAATAATTTATATTGCGAATTAGAAATTAAGAGAACTATTATATGAACTATTTGCAATTGACTATATACAATGATTAGCATCAGTGAAAGTGCAAAACTTTAAGTAGTTAAGTTAGTACATAATATATTAGCTTTAAAAAACCATTTAATAACTATATTTTAACACTAAAAGATAATAAAACACTTCTAAACATTTGCAACACGAAACCTTTTTAAATCACTTCACTGAAGTTCGAGTTAAGTTACGACTAAGTTACTAAGTGAGCACACGACCGGTCCCCTCGAGGGTCAAAGTCAGACTGTGTTAAGTTGGATTCCTCGCTTAGAACCTGATAGAGCTCTGGTGTGCTTTTATTTTTAATTTTTGGTTGAGCACTGATTTCTGTAATGCCAGCATTCTTAGGTCACTATTTTTTTCTTTAGTGTTAAATTTATTTACCAGTGTTTTTCTCTTAATTTTTTTTAATTTTTAATCTATGGCTTAAAGTACATTATGAAAGCTTTTAAAATTAAACTTTTAAGAATTTATTTGCAAGAATAATAAGTTTTTGTAATCAAGTCAATACCTCATTTTTAAGAAGATATAACATATTTTATTCTGTTTTTAACATTTTTTATCTGTTTCAGCAGTAATTAATCCTGTCCGATTAAAAATATTTGGTCTTCAGCTTTTTATCAATATTAAAAGCCGTAAAATCCAGTAAATGCAATGACTAGAAAGCACAATAAAAGAACGCGTAGCTAATGCAATCAGCTGAGATGTCGACCTGTGATGGTCGTCCAGTACAGGGGTGCTAAACTACGGCCCGTAAATAAAGTGCGACGTACGACAACGAATCAATATTTTTTTTACTAGTTGAATGCATGCATAGCAATTTCAAAGTCAAATAACGAAAAAGTTTTGTTAAAAACGAAAAATTTTAAAATTTAATTTTTAGATTTTCTAACCTTCTTTCTCTGCCAAAAATTCATCATAATCTTTAGAGTTCAGAACGTTTGAAAAACATTTTGTTTGGTAAATTAATCGAGAATTCAAAGAGATTGCCAGGAAACTTTAAAAAACACTGGACAGGACTACTTAATATGACCTTAGGCTAAACTTTAAATAGCCCTGAACTAGTGCGTAATATTAACACGCGTATAAATCAACGCGAATTACCCCTTGCTCTGTGAAATATTGAATCAGACACGCGATACTAAGGACCTATTTAAAATTATAAATTTAATTTCATTTGAAAATGTCATCTTATTCTTGTTCTTTACTATCAGCCGTCTTATTTGAGTTCACTCCATTCTTACGCAAACTCTTTCATTCAATCCAATAATTTAATTTAATAATGCATTTTGGTCAATTTTAAATGGAGATAAGCAAAAAAAAATGCGTATTACACAGGGCCAGATTTACACCAATTTCTATTTAGTACGTTCCTGGCACATCTCTCTCGCTTCCACACACTAAAGTGATATATATCCGTCCTTGTCCATCGGTTACAGGTCCGGACTCGGTCGTCTAATATAAGACCGAGTACCAGGATAACATAAAGTAGGCGAAGGTTGAATTGTATGATTTCACAAACTTTGGCAGCACTTACACTGTTAGTTTTTGTATTTGATAATAGATGGCGTTAAAATCAATCGTCTGGAATGGTTGTTTTATTTTACAAAATTGGTACTAGGGTTAAATAAAAGCAAAAGAGTATCGTGTATGTATAAGAAAAGAAAATAAAATGAAGGTCAGAGCCTGTTCCTTTGACCAATATAAATACGTCCTTGTTGACTTTTTAGATTTAAAACGCCTTGATAACATTTACTTTCGTATTTAGTGACCTAAGTATAACATGTTACATGCTTTTCCTTCTATTTACAATAATGCGAGACAATCAAGGTGGGCAGAGGTTACAATATAATAATTCTTATAAAAAATATAAAAAAAATTTTCACCATCTTTTCATTTTAAAATAGTTCATACTCTATAAGCTGCTTTTTTCTTTTTTTTTCAGTACATATTTTCAACCAGCATTTTTTAAATCATAAATAATTTGTCCTAATATTCCCCTAAGAATTTTTCTTATATAAAAATACACATGTTTTGGTAAAACTTCTAAAATCACAAATTAACGTTGGTAAAATGCTTTATATATATATAATATAATTCTTCTGTGCGTGTGTATGTCACTGAACTTCTCTCAAACGACTGGACCGATTTTGATGAAATTTTTTGTGTGTGTTCAAGGTAATGGTTTAGATTCACAATTTTCATCAAATATTAACTTCATATTAATTTATTCAAATTAAAGACATGTAGACAGGGCAACGTCTGTCGGGTCCGCTATATGCTATATATTATAAAATATATTATTACTCAAATATATAAAAATAGCTACGGCTTATTTAATGTACAACTAGCTGCCGCCCGCGCCTCCGCGCGGATTTATAAAAAATAAGTAGCCTTTGTGTGTCTTCCAGAGTATGTTCTAAATCCATGCCAAATTTTATCAGTATCCGTTCAACCGTACTGGAGATACAACAAACAAACATCCATCTAAACATTCGCATTTATAATATTAGTAAGATAGTAAGAAGTAAGATATTATTTAAATTTATCTCATAGTTTTCATAAAATAACGATGAATTTGACAAATCTCTACATAATTTTAGATTGAAATATACGAAATAAAAACTAGAATTTTAAAATGAAACGAACAATACAGTAATATAACAGATGTCTTTATAATACCGATTAGATCCTGAATTATAACACAATAGCACCGCATTGTCCCTTACTGACCCATTTGGCCAATTACCTACGCTTCAATACAAAACAGGAAGACGAACAAATGATTGGAAGACAAGCTTTTATGCATTTAAATAGCCGTCTAAGCAACTTATACTAAAGCAATACAAAAATTTTAGGACCTAAATATATAAAAAGAAAATTTATCTCGAATTTTAAAGTAAGAAAATATTTATTATACAAAACGCTTTAATTGCGGTTAAAAGCCATTTAAAGTGACTGACTGACCGTTTTTTTATTATAAGGTCGCAAACAGGCTAGAGGCCACCAGAAATCGCAAAAATAGCGTACGACTGTTGCCCATAGATATCCGCAATTACAGATGCGCTGCCTACCTTTAATCGACGGAGGAGGGGAAGCACAGAAAGAGATTTTTTTCCCCCTCACCCGGAAAATCCACCTTCACTTCCCATCCTTTCCTTATAAAGGGTGGGAAGGAAAGAGAACTTAAATAAGGACGCACACTCATCAGACTGTACTTGGAATTACTTCCACTTGACGGGCCAATTCGTGCGGATATGTTAGAGCGGGTTCTACCACTGTTATTACAAGATCGTATAGACGACTCGCGTCGACGATTCAACGCTGTGTGTACGGAGCAAAGCGACTCTCGCGACACAACCATAAAATGTTATGTGAACTTGTGTACGAAGGGTTTAAAAGTAAATCAATGCACTTTATATTTTTAATTGCATTGCTACAAACTGGAAATCTTTACTATTTATGGTTGTTTTCTAATTAACCATTAAGATGTATCAGATAAGAGATAATATATAATATCTGCATAGATTTAACTACGGGAAGCTGTTGTAAATAAAACCAGTACTTTATCTTATATCGAGATGAGGGATTTTAATTAAAGTTGTACTCACTAGTTGCATTTCTTTTAAATAATTAATTATATATACCGTACTATAGTTGAAAGAGAAATGTAGTAATTGTTAGTTGAAATTTGTACCTAGGATCTGAAAAGGCTGCAACATATATTTTTATTGTAAACCCAAAAATATAAATATTTCTATCGTACTTATTACTTAAATATTTTTTTTTTCTTATTCTTTAATGATGTTTTTGAACTATGTATGAAATTCGTAACATTTTTATCCGACTTCTAAAAGAAGGAGGTTTTCAATTCGCATGTATTTTATTATTTAAGAATACTATATTATAAGGATTCAAAGAATTCATTTAATTTGTATAACCGCCATCTAGGGGCTATGGCGACAATTAATTGAAACTCTTGAAAAAAACGTTTGAATTCGTACGCTTTTTGACACTAGATGGTATTAAAAAAAAGCAAAAAAGTTTTCGGTTCAATCAGTAAGGCAAGTCTATTCAACAATAGATGGCGCTGTGCAATTTCATATTTTAATTTATTACTTAAAAATTAATTTAAATTAGATTAATTTCATTGATAATTTAGCAATAATAAGGAAACACATTTATTCAATTTTTATTACCAACTATTTTTTATTCTATACGCTATTCTATAACTAACAGATTGTAATTACAAACTTATATAGTTTCTACTGATTCGATTTTTTATAAGACGGCATTGCGGTATTTTCGAGTCGAGTCTCCTTTTTTTTCTACCGTCAGGTCTGAGTCTGTCAGCCGGTTACGCGTCGTTTTTTGTTCTTTTTCTTCGTCTACCTGAGGCCATATGTTACATCGGGCAAGACGTGATATTGTGAACTTTAGTAAATACAACTTTTTTATCAAACTATCTACATCCTGCTTAATTTTAAATTACAGTTTTTTTCATAAAAGTTGACAGGTTAAAGTAAAGAGTTGAAGTTAGCAAGAAATTTTTAGACTCTACTATATTCTCTTTTTTACTAAATTACGACTTCGATAAAAGCTAAAGCCACCTTTCAATCAATTAAGTATTTATATTTTAAATTAACTGGAAAATAAATGAAATCAGCTGTTACTTTTATCTCGGACTTATATCTAACCTAGACAAACGATAAAAATGCATTCAAATTATGTAAATTGTTTATGGTCGTTCAGTTCGTTCACCCAGGTATTATCACTGGCTGGCGGGAAACACGTTTTAATCAAGATTAAAAAAAATGTCAGCTGTCATAAATAACACGCAAATAATATTAGATTTTAAAAAAGGAACGTCAAATTCGAATTAAAATAAAGGAACTTGCGTATGTGTGCGTGATGTCACAGCAAAGCTGATTTGTAATAGTTTTCGCTACACAAGCGTCCTAGAGAAATTATGTCTTATCCCGTTACATTAAAGTTCATTTTCGTAAAACATAATTTAAGCTTTTGTCTTATAATTTTATTGTTGCATTCAGTTAGTAGTTTCATGATTAATGTAAAAAAAGTTTTAATTTTAACTTACATAGATATGGCTTATGGTTATTTAAATTGTAGTCAAATTAATACAAATAAAAAAGTTTAACTTACCACAACAATGATTTCGGCGACATCCGAAGCATTATTAGTGAAACATCGTTACGATTCACATAAATAAAATATTTACTTAAAATGTATTGTAAATTATTTCGCCAATGAACCATAAATATATTTTTTCACATAATAAC